GGTAAATAATGTCAGGTATAACAAGTAACACGAGATTACATGTTCTGAAACCATGACAGAGAATTTCAAGGGGAAGTCCAGATACTTCTCGAGAAATTTGTTAAGGATCTGGAGAGCAAATTAAGGTCCTTCTAGAGCATCCCAGAGAAGACTAAAAGGGAAAAACACAACCAACAAACTAAAAGAAAACGGCGTATCAGGAAGCGAAGGACAATCAAAGCTTTGAAGTGAAGGGCATAAGGTGAAAATTTTCCAAATACAGAAATAGCTTAATCAGAACAACAAAAACAAGATCGAGATATTTACGGGTTGATTGATAGTGTCAACTCAAATGTTCACCGTGAGAGAGGATTCTAAAGGATCTACGTTACGGTTTCCTCTGAGTAGTGAGAACAGCATGTCTACGCATTTAGAAGGATTTAGATGTAAATTGAGTGCAGTTGACTAACCAACGAGGTTAGACAAGATGAATTGAATGTTAAAAGTGACAGAATCATCAGGATTGGTGATTCCGAGAACATTGTTTGCGTATCTGATAAACGATAAATCCTGGTGAGTCGGCATAGATAAAAGAGCGTCAACACAACAGATGTAAATGAAATTGATTGAAATTTTGTGGTTTCTTGGTTCAGTATATTGGTAATGGAGGCGGATCTTAAAAATAGGGTACAGCTGTTTTTCAAGCACTGGTTAAACAGAGCTGTGAGCCGTGGCCAAACTGTGTGAGCACAATACTTACGGATGATAATCACCGGCCTATCGGGACCGGGAGATCTAGTAGATTTGAGAATCAACAATTCATTTAGGACACCCTCTTTTTGTTTAGTGAAAGGTTCTGTAATGTTGAGGTAGATGTTTATAATGTCGATGGACAGCCTCCTCTTCTCGTTACTAATTCCTCTATTAAATGTTCGATTTGACATTTTAACGTATATTTTTTTCTGGATACAAGACCTCGGGTAGGCCACTCAACAGCTTGATGGTGTTCCAGGTCACCCGGCAGGTTTTGTCTGCGCAGGAGTGAGTGAGTGTAGATTCCGTCCAGCCTATGTAGCTCGCCTTTTATAGCACGTGATCAGGGTTTCATCCTTTGAAGAGCTTTGCGTTAGTGTGTTCATTTCTTGCTTCTAAGTAACTGTTTCAGATTAGGGGGCGAAGTGCATATTGTCTTCCATGGGTAGCATGTCGTAGCAACAGCTTAGATATTGTGTGAGGAGGTCACACTAGATGGAAGGATTAGGGTGGTAGGACACACTGAACTCTGTCTGAGAGATCATCACAGAGTTTCGCTAGGTTCCCTGGGTTGCATTGACTTTTCATCCTTTGAAATCTTGGCTTTGCGTAAAAGTTATTTGAATGAATTTGCTGTACACTGCTGGAGAAACTTTAATGAGAGCGCGGTTTGCAGACATAAGAGGGTACCTGGCAGATATGGAAAATAGGCTGATATTATTGACAAAACAAACGTCTAAAACAACAGTTAGTCTTGTTGGGAAGCTCACCTATATTTGTCAAACCAAGAAAAGTTAGGAGACTGCAGTCGACGAGATTGAAGTTACAACAGCGAGAGATCAAGACAACTCATTAAATATACGGAAAAAATATCCGAAAACTGTAGAAATTCCTCCGAGGGACAAGAAGAGGAAATAAAAATGTTGACAATCGAGTGATAGTTACTCAAGTGCTTGAGCTTGCATTTGTGTACGCAGACACGAACGCAACCAGTGAATCGAGAAAATGCCTTTTTCACATTCTCGCACCAATTCTTATCAATTTAAGTCATCAGGCTCCGTCAAGCTTCCTAAGCGCTGCTGGGTGGTTCACTCGCTGTTCATTGAAGCCTTCGGTTTTAGAAATCACCTTGTAATAGAAATGCGCCTAATTTCCAGTATTCCATACGTTGAATGAGGTCAGATATGTTTGGTAATTTCCTAGGTAATCAACGAGCGTTATTGCCAATAATGACTGGTATACAAAGTTGTAACAAATCTGTTTGCCTCAGCGCCACTCTCTCTGCCCTGATGTTTCCTCTGATGTCCACGAGACGCTTTGCCACTCCATTTGTATTTATTTCTCACCGATTTCCAAAATTGAACGACCTTCGAGGGCGAACAGGAGTTTTGATTTTTTTCATGGAGTAATGATGGAGTTTTTCTATCAGTGCCATCATAATCCCATAATAACCTTATAGAAACGAAACAGAAGAATTGGTGGATCGAAACAAAGCCTACGATTGTGCAGTGATGATTTGACAGAGTACAACAGTGCAGCCTAATTTGAAGGTTTAGCCAGAGCCTAGATATAAGAAAAAGTATTATACATGCAATATATATATACAATATATATAAGATATAACAGTAAGGTTTAAGCATGGGCTCCTCAGCCTATAACTACCTTTACATTGAAAAAAACGCTCAGCAAATAAGATTAGTGTAGATAGTCTAAGTAAAGAAAATAAACCCATCTGTCTCGCTTGCCTGAACGAATGCATTGATTTCAGCCAAATTCAATGCGGTGGCCTTGATTTCCATTTCCTTCTCCAACTTTCTTTTACGAGTTCTACACAAACGTTCCCATAATGTATTTTCCATTCCCGGTTGACTTTCGTGAGCAGGGTCATTGTCTAGCTCTTTGAGACATTCTTCCACCAACGTCTTAGAATCAGTTGGAATACGTTTGTGTGACGGTTTTTCTACATATGGATTGAAAATAGTCGACCCCGGTTGACCGTGAGAACGAATCCCCTCCGATGTTTCTAGATCAGGATTATGAGCCGATCCGGTTGGAACCATTCGTCTGAAACAAAAAATATCGATGGAAAAACACGACCAGTTGGAACACTTTACAATTTGGTAAAGAAGGACCTAGATGAGTGTTAAAAAGAATAAAAATCTAATCTAACTTAATCGATTCCGAAGTACGAGAAATGTTTGACCACACCGGTGCTCATTAAAATTTCGAAGTAGGGTTGAGCTCTGAGATAAAAGGTTTTACCAATTAAAAATGATCAGAAAAATGATAACTGCAATTATACATTTGAAGGTATCTAGTTGGTTTTTGAAGAAATACCAATGAATTAAAACGGATCTCGTGCATTTCATTCCCCAAAATCTCAGGGCACAGGTTTCTGCAATCCATAGTTGATCAGCATATTTTGACTACTTCTTCCAGTCAGCACATTTAGGTGTGACTTGAGAAAATTCATCAGGCGTTATTATCAGTGATACGTAGCGGTCATAAATGCTTATATAAGCCTACTTGCAACGTGTTGTGCTGGAAATACTGCAACAAATATGACGAACAATCGAAATTTGGTATTAAATATAAATCATTTTAAGGAAATGCGTCAGGGCCATCGAGACAAATTACCATCTGTTTTCCTGAGTTTAGAAACGACACAAAAATGGAAATCCTACGTCCTTGCGTGTAGACAGCGCAAAGGTGCAAATAGCAACATTAAAAATAGCATGCTGCATGAGTCCCAAACAAACATATATGTCCTTCTCACCTTGGCCTACGGCGGAACGCTTTCAGAATGTAGTCATATAATGGTCCATGAACATCTGAAAAATCTTTGCGGAAATTCTTCTCCATCAGTCGGTCCTCAGCACACTGAATTTCGTACAGTTGTTGCATATCATCAAGCACCTTCTTTGATGCCTCAAGCGTGTTTTTCATCTATAAGCAATTTCGATAATCAAGTAATGAATGAACTATTTAATAAAGAATCATTAAAGGCAAGTGATTTAAAAGTTCCCAGCAAATTCGAATTACTGTCGCTTGTTGAGCTTCACAGCTTCTGTGTGAATCGCGATTATAATGCTTCTCTACAATACACGTCTAAAGTAGTTGTGGTTGAAAAACTGGTAACAAATGCCAGTTTATTTTTAGGCTTGAGTGGAAAAGCTCACTGTTTATTTGATCGTTGAGGAGTAACTGAATATCAAAAAGTAGTGGTTATCAAAAAGCATAATTCTCTCAGTCCAATGGACAGAATGAAATTAGCATATCTTGCTTGTTTTTCCACCATAGACAGAACTAACTGAAGATGTTGCATAACGTGTTAATTAATTGGGGGTTATACTGTGCAAACTCGTCCTGCTTATCATATAGTAGCATTCTTGAATCAAACTAATCTGATCGTCTGAGTATTTTAAAGATCCTACTCTCGAACGTTGCACATTCATTGGATTAATGTTACGTCAATAACCTGCCAAGAGACAACCAATAAATGATCAAAGTATCTTCTCATGTTGTTTTCATCTGTCTCCACACCGCGCCCTTCTTCTGTTATTATTATCATTACTGTTATTATCGCTTTGGTATTATGATTGTTTGTAAAACGGTTGTTATATATATATATATGTATATATATATATGTATATATATATATATATATAACATTTATTCAGTATTTGAATTAAATGAGATGAAATTGTTGAAAGAAGTCTCAACAAAGCTGCGTTCGGTTTGTCGCATCTAATGCGGCATCAAGAAACAGTCGGTCTAAACGTAAGTGGTCATCACATGTGAATGATAATCGACTCACTTGTTCTATTTCACATTCGGCTTTATCCAGCAAACCGTGCAATTCATATTCATGCACAAATAATTCCTCTTCAATCAAAAGCATCCATTTGAGGCGCCATACTTTAAGTTCCTCTTGTAGCACAGCCATTTGAACACGAATCCAGTATTGAAACAAAGCAAGCAGCTGTTCATCAAATTTGGATTTTTCGTCATCGATTTGTGCATACATTTTTTTCACATCTGCCTCAAGGAACTTTAAGGAAAACAGAGAGATATTTGTACTTTTGTGATTCACATTTAAGTATGCGTCATTTACTACACAACAAACTTGAATACTGATCGTTGTGGGCAACGTGACTGAGTAGTTTGGGCGTGTGAACTTCTCAGGGCTGCATGATGTATAAAGAAGCACTATTTCGTACGATTAACATATTCAAGCACTTGAATGGTAAACAATGAAGACCAGTTCCCAAAAGAACGAGGCGAATGATTAGTGATTTTTTCTTGGTCACTCCACAGAAAGTCTACATCAAACGATAAATCGTGCACTCATAATGAAAAAAATGTCATTTCTATATGTAACTCTATGGGTGTTAGTAATGAATTGGTTATAATACGGCACTCAAAGTAAAGTGATGAAATCAAAGCTGCACGGTCTTGACTACACAGCTTGAATCACACGAGCAGACCGCAGTTGTGATCAAAACAGAAATTTTGGACAAACATAAGATTTCGACATTTTCTTTATTGAGCCGACACAAACACGTTTGCTTAATAAAATAACGACAGTTGAACCTTGTGGATCAAACAGTCAGGGTTCATCATAGCAAGAGGGACAGGAAAGTGGATGTGGGACAAATTTATTTTTATCCGACATGGACTTTAAGTGCAACCGTGTCTCAGAGACCGTTGATCACGTTATGTAGGATAAAAATCATTTTGCACCAAAGTGGAGCGATAAACCGATAACCGTGCTGCGCTATAATTGTCAACATAAGCCCTTCTTTCTTGGGCAGGTTTAGTCTAAGACCTCAAGGACAGCGGAATTTTGTTTAGGTCGTGGTGAAGTTTGGAAAACAGTAGCCTCAGTGGAATTTCCCCCATTGGGGACCTAAGTTAAACCTACCAATACAACGGCTGAAGTGCGTCTTTATGCCTGTAGATCTAGACAAAAATGATATTTATCTTTCCTACCCGGAGAGAGAAACGTGATACCGAAACGATTATTGGGCAGGGGCGTGACACGAAATAAATTCAGGCGAAATCAAATGAATTTAGAGTATCAAGCTTAGATTAATCTAGTCGATTATTCAGAGACACCAGGGTTTAATGTCCCGGCCCGAATGTTCGCGGTACGAGTCCTGACAGGGACACAACTGCTGACGAGTCCCAATCAGGATGAAACAGCTATCCAGCGCTCTTTGTCTGTTATCACAAACATTTCCGTCGCATTTGAAATCAAATGAACTTTCTGGCATTAATGAGAGATTAGGGTTGAATCAGAACACTGATTGTTTGATTGTGCAAAATCACAATTTAACAGGTCCCAACCCCTGCTGTTGCGCATTCCCTCAACCATTATTACTTTGACCCAAATAATGGCATTGCATCTGGCTAGTCGACGAAACACCGAAAACCAGCATGTTTCCCAATTTGTCTTGAGATGATTATTTTCTTTACATCCTCACTAAACTAAAAATACTACAAGAAGCATCCTCCGCTTCAAATACTGAACTCAATGAAGCATGAAGCAAAAGAAGTACAAAACTGTGACTGACCTTTCGATATTTTTCGCGCTCTTCATTTAGTTCTTTCACCTTGCGCTCGTATTCAGCATACAAACGTTTATCATCTTCCGTCCAATGACCCAATGGTTTACCAGTGAGCAAAAATGCTGGTTTCGGCACATCCTTTTTCAATTCATCTTCTTTGCGTACTTCAAGCACCCCACCCATCATCTCTTCCAAGCCACGTTCACGCCAGTTGTCCAGTTTCTCGCGTCGCTTTCTCTCCTCCTCAGCCATTTTTTTGGCTTCTAACTCAGCTATTTGAGCCGGTGACAGATACTTTTCGACTGTGATCTCGGCATCGTGTACAGTGAGTAATTGCTCCGGCTGTTCTTCGGGAGTAAACTGTGGGTCGAAAATCACACGCGCCGAACTGGGCTGCTGCAGGTCGATGAGAACTTTGCGAACACGTGCAAGTCGCGAGCGGATGCGACTAAGACCGCTTTCTTTTTTCTCATAGACTTCATTAAACTGCTTATTGAATGCTTCCTTAATACGAAAGATATTGTCCTGTGTAAGTGAGAAGGACAAGAGAAATATAAAGTAGAATGCACCAATGGGTTTTCACATAATTTTTGGTGAATAGTAGTGCAAAGTGTCAAAAAACTTTGGGTTCTTTCATCGTCAACGACTAAATGACGGCAAAGGCTTCGAAATTCTCGGGGACGAACAGTGAAACCCTCACTGTAATAATGTTTTTCTCCTCACTGGGTGATTTGTCCACAAAACACGCCTGTCTATTGCGTCAAGTAATTTTTGGTCGATTCCGTATAAATGTACCCAGACCAGTGTCTGCGTGTGATTGTTGTATTTAATGCTCTTCGTCTACTGTTACCTATACGCTGGTCGAGCGGTTATGGTTGCTCTCATCGGCGCACCTTGGACTTCAGGGTCTTTGGTTCTAATCCCACCATCGCCACTCAACACTGGTGGTGGTCTTTCGGACCTTTCGGGTCTTATTTGGTCCATCATTCCAAGTTCTGGACTGTAGATTGCCGGTTCAAATGAAGTGAATAGTAGGATTCTGCTTTACATGACAAAGAACAAGAAAGTTCTCCTAGACTAGACTATACGACAGAATGTGGGAAATCAACGAGCTACTAAGAAGCCCGACGCAGATGAAAGGCAGTCATATTCGGAGTCTGTTGTACGTGATTTCGCATTCCGTGTACAAGAAAATCCCCTGAAGTTTAGTCTGTTTATTCAAGACGGACAGGAGTGGGGTTCGACTCATTTCCATTGACGAATTAAGGCGGCCAAAACACCGGTCTCTTTACAGATTTCCCGGTGAAATACCAGTGGGAGCTTCGTTTGAAGTGAAAGCTTTCTAACTAAAAGTTAAGTTTGTCTAGTGCCCTTTGGACTCATTGGTAAGAACAACGGACAACGTACAAACGTCTAAGAATCCATTCTGGTCGGTGAAACTTACCGAAATTAGAAAATCATCGATGCCGGCAGTAGACTGCACTCGGCGCCACAGAACGCATTCAGGTAAAAATAAAGGGAACTCAAGAATGTTGAAACACAATGCGCTTAGATAAATCAATTTAATTTTGACTTGTAAATCAAATAGGGTACCAGGTTCATTGATCTGCAAGATGATAGATGTTTGATCAACTTTGAGTTTGCGAAAACAAATGATCATTCTTCTTCCTTACTGATGTAAATTCAAATAAAGAAAGAGATTGTGCTATCAATTATTTCGTCGTCACTGACAAGACCGAACCAGTGTTGATTTCATTTACCATCATTGATGATGATACAATCAACAGTAAACAACAATCGCAGATTTTTGCTTGTTTGACTGTAAACGTAATTTCAACGGGTTTTCAACGATTGGTAACGGTAATAAAACTCACTAAGGTTAATCAAATGTATTTAACTGAGACTTACTTGTATCAGTACAATCTGATAAATCTTCTGTTCTCGAGTGTACAGTTCCATTTGGCCGTACATACATTCGTCTGTGCCTCCATAGTCCAGGGCTACGAAGATAAGAAGATGAATTTCAGTCAGAAATTTCCGCTGAGACCATTGATTTTTACACCATTAGTGCTGATGTACTACAAGATGTAATTCATTCAAATGAGTTTTGACGTTGAAACTTATCGGAATTACAATATAATCGTTCCAAGTTGCATGCGTTTATAAATGATGTTCATCGAGGCAGGTATTGCGTGGAATAAAGCCAAAAATAGCCAAGCTAAAACCTGGCATGAAGGTATGAAAACCCTAACCAGGAGACTCGGTCACATAGATCCTGTTAAGCTCCCTGAATGGGGACTTTGAGACAATCGTAATCGGTGGTTAGAGACATTGAGTGGTACGGCTGACCGTCGTAAACAATGGCGCTTGTACATCTCTCAATTTATTTGAAATATCAGTACACTGAAATTCTCCATTTTCTCTTCGATTCAACTTTCAGTTTTCCCGTCTTTCATCTACTGTTCATCCAAACGGACAGCCAAAAGAAAGCATGCAAAACCGGAGCACGAAAGTGCATGTTTGTTGGTTGCTCAAACGGAAACTGAAACTGCGTTTTATCCACGATGTGGTGTGGGAATCGAGTTAGAAAATGTAACACACTTTTCTCTGCAACTCATCAAGTGAATATAAAATTGTGATACATATATATGTATACGATCAAATATCGGAAATATCGTACCTCCATAAAAATGTCATTTTTCAACGCACGGATTTATTATTTCACTAATTGTTAGGCAGATTGCATCGCTAATGTCACACCTCAGATGAGGATCGCCTTTCTAAAAGCAACAGTAAATGACACAAAAAGTAGCATTCATGAGGTCACCACCTCTTCCAACAGAGTGAGACAAGACGCAATAAAATGGCTGTTAGTTAAAAAACAATAAATAAAGAACTCTACTTGAAGCCGGTCAATCGCAAACGTCACGCAGGAGAGAAAGCTTTGATGAAAAGCCTGTACGTTGGGTTGTTACACTAGTGTATCCGCGCGTGTACTTACGTCAGAAACAGGAGCTAAATTCAGACAGATGACTACGGACTCAACACATGACTGCACGTTTTCAGTTCCAGTTTACACGGTTTTCATTTTCACTCAGTCAACCATTGAGTGTGGAGTAATCGGAAGACTTAAAAATTTTAGACCATTATCAATAATAAAGTGAAGTAGATTTGAGTAGTAGATGAACAGATGTACTAACTTTAGGGATTCAGTTACTTACCTTATCGCCTAGCTTCTCTGATAATCAGTTTGACAAAGAGGTCCGCGTTAAGGAAGGTAAATACTACCCATATGAACCAGGTCCCCGATCGGGGTTTGCACGCCCAAATGTAGAAATGCAATATATAGAGTAGCCAGAATAGCATGCATTACTCTCGATGACGCTACAGTCTGGAGACTCACCATCCCAACAGTGACGAAAACTGAACGATTTCTTCGGTGACAAAATATTGAAAATCGGTTCTCGTAGCTCGGGTGAACTGAATTCCATTTCGCCTGTTCGCCGAGCTTGGCAATTTGTTTGCAAACAAATTGCTAAGCTCGGCCAACAGGCGAAATGGATTTCTTTGGTGTTGGTATACCCTTTTCCTGGCTGTATGGAGACCCACAAGCACAAACAAATGGTCGTTCCATTCATATGCATTGTGGGGGATTCCTTCGCTCATTGAAATACGTCGATACAGAATAACAATCTAACTATTGTGCTGAAATTTACTCTACTGAACGAACCTGAGAGTAGTATTTGTAAACGACTTGCTTCAAAGAAGTATCTAGTTTGCAGAAACCGAATAAAAAATTATCCATGTGAAATAAGAGGTTGCGTAGGCAGGTTGGAGATAATGTTAGGAGCAACCGCAAACAACTTAATCTCACCAATGAGCCATGGGGTATGGCGCTGGTCTTAGTTAACTCGGGATACGAACAGCTCTATCGCTAGCCTGATTGTCCAGAAAAAGTTTATTTATTATACAGTTGAACTGCGTCCACGTTCAAATCATTTAACTGATGATTGTGGTATTTCAACGATTGTTAGACTTTTTTGGTGGTGTCGTGAGTAAACAGCAAATATAGATAATATGAAAGCACAACGTTGAATTAAACGCTCCGATGGCACGCTAACGGTTATGAAGTAAAATTACGGAATGCAAAGAAAGTCGGTTTACCAATAAAAAATGCCCTGTTATTGTTATTGTTATTATTGTTGTGCTTGTTATGCTTGCCTACGAGCCGGTGTTAAATATAAAAACACTAATTTATGCAATGTTAACACTGAATTAGAATGAAGGGGTAAGTGGCATTAGTGACGGACCACATCAGACCAAACTACTTTATGTATTCTCCCCGGACTTACCGATACTCCCAGCCATGACAAGATTTACATCCGTTACCCGTTCTTCGTCTTCTTCCGGTTCATCATGCTGAATTGCCTACGGATAGAATAAAATTCATTGTGAATAAGTTCGCTTCATCTATTGGGTGTGGAATCAGTTCTAAAAGTAAAATTTGAATCCCCACCAAAAAATATATTTCTGAGTCTGTTTTGAAGAAAACTCTATTTGCTAATAGTTGATTTCCTATGACTGCGGTGAAAGTTTAAAAAGAAGTAGTAGTAAATATACACCTAATGTTCGTGTAGGTTGAAAGAGTCAATCATATTTTGTTGCGAAAATGTGCAAATGGTTACTATGCACGAGACGCTTTCAAAGTCCGGAGATCAAAGCTAGATGAATGCATTCCTAAAACTGTTGCTTGCGAGAACAATGAAACAAACCTACAATCTTGATATTTATTCTCGCAAGAGTGATTATGTGCCCTAGCGAATCAAATATCCTTTATTGGAATGTAGAATGAATAAACCACGCCCTTAATCAATCAATCAATCAATCAGGCCAGCAAGCAAACCAACAATCGACAAATCAGTCAGCAATGTCATTGTGAGCCAACCATCCACCTATCGTTTCACATGATGAGACAACCGGTAAATAAGTTCTTCAATAGAACGGATTTNCGTATCCTTTGGTTGCGATGGATGTCCGAACTTTCCTATTTCTTCTTCCACCTGTGATTGGATCTTGCGCCTTATTCTTACTGTATTCAGTTGCTCCAGTTCCATTTTCGGCCTTGGTTTGAGAGGAAAGTTGCATACTTCTAGTTTGAAGTTGAACGCACTTATACATCGACCCTTGACTTGCATTTCGTCCCAGCAGCGTCTCTTGATGACGGTCCAAGTAAATTGGTTTGCCAAATCTGCCATTTCGATGTCATAACGGACCTGTGAGGAGTAAAGATGATTCTTTTATGCATGCATTAAAAAAAAAATTGTAACGCATTTCACTTCCTTTAAAAGGCGCATTTCAAAATATTGAACAATGCGGGGCACCCTAAAAGTGTAAAAAGAACATGCAATGAGAACTATAAAGTTTCTGATCATTTCGTTCAGGCGTTTTCCTTATTTTAATCTAAAAAACCTGAGGTAAAAACACCTGTGTTCTTATGATGCCGTGTAAAAAAGTCAACACATTTTGTTTCCTGCAATACCACAGTGAAATCATTCAAGGTTCACTTGCATGATCATTTTTGCTCTCACTTGCCACAAAATCTCTGTAAATATCCTGTAGAAGTTGTGTTTACTGAATTCTCAAGTAACTCAGTTTTAACCAAATTTTTAGCCCGTTCTTTTTTAATCAGTCTATTCACATACAATGGTGTTTGTCAGAATAACTAGTCGGAATGTTCACCCAGAAGAGCAGAACGTTGACAGATATTTTCTTAACCAATTGAGGGATTCAGAAAATTCTGCAAAAAGCAGATCGATTCGAATTTCACCATCGAAATTATCGACCACATTTCAAAGAAATGAACCTGGAAGGACCACATATATCGTTGGATATCAGCGTTACCCAAAAGCAGTATAAACTTCAGATTGATTTACAGCAAAAATATGAAAACGCAGAACTTCTATATCCCAAGGAAATTAAAAAAGATCTGATTTCCTTTACATAATCCCAAGATCTAAGAATACTGCAGTGCATCAAACTTTGACTAAAAAATCTGGACATCAAGTACTATTGGGATTTCCAATTAAATAAACCCAAAAGAGGATTTTCATAACAAAGAAAAATTACATGTGTGGAAAGTGAATAGAAACAAACGACTGAGTGATTTGAGCTTAGCAAATTTGCATTCGGAATTGAAAGCATGTGATTGCCACAAAATACTACAGTTTCCCCTATCCGATGTGAAGGCATTCAGTCAATCTGTTGTCAATTATGGAATTTTGCCTGGTGTGTTCTTATTCTGAGAACTCTTTTCGCAATTGTAAGTTACTGGAGGTCGTTCCTTCTCCACTGGTTTGGGGTTAAGCAGTACTTTCTACAAACTATTTTATGCTACTAACAGGTAGCCACATTACAATTGCGAAAAATTAGCATATACTGTTTATGTAATTGGATCAAACCGTTATGCGATCATGTAGCAAGCTCGACTGAGTTTCTGCCATCCTCATGAAAATCTGTGTAGTCAGGATTAGTCTTTCCTCATGATATGAACCAATTACCATAGTATTACACATTTTCTGGAGTGTTACCTCTATATTCTTCTTTGTCACACCGATGTATATACATTCATATTTTTTCATTCTTAAGCAAAGAAAATTGTTCATGTCACACAGTTCCTATTCATTAAAAGTTAAGCGGTCAATAGTTACCATTGATTGCAAAATTCACGCAATTCATTTTGTGAATATATCTCCCAAGCTTGACGCTGAGGAAATTCTGTTGATAAACTGATTGTTATCAGGGAGATTGAAAGTCGATGCTATGCCAATCAAGAATGCTTACTCAGAGAGGCCCTTACGTGGGGCCCTGATTTCACTGACAGATAACTTGTGATGAGAACCTCAAATTCATTGCATTCTTTGAACAGACAAAAGGCTCAGGAGTGTGGCAGAATCTGTCCACGCCTCCTACAATTCCAGTAGTCCGGATATCAATACAAGACGTCCGGGTATCATCTCAAGTTGTTTGATCATCATTTCCAGTTATTGTATGAGATCGGGTTGTGCAAGTTTCCAACCAAGTCATAGCCCTGTAGGCTAGTGTTGAGATGAGCGAGGATCCATACTGGCAACGAGCTGGGAAATATGGGCTGTGTGATATCGTGTGTATTCAAACTGGGAAACGGTCTGATCAGCAGCCCGGTGGCCGAGTGGGTAGTATGTTTGCGTTCTACCTGTGAGGTCCCGGGTTCCATCCCCATTTCGGTCGATGGATTTGAACTGCTGATGAAACCCAACCAGGTCCAGTGCTCCCCAGCTTTTCAGCTCAAGCCTCATTTATATGAGTTTCCAGTTGTCTCAAGCTTTGATCGTGCCCGATCCATTGGTATCCGCGTAGCATGGCCCTATGTGACTTTTCAGAGGGCTGGGGACGAACACACACAAAGACGCAAGGGCGTACTAGCACGGTAAACTATCAGTGTGTCGTGGGGATAGGGGTGTGTGCGACCGAGGTAGGTCGCACAATCGTCACCCCCGCGCTTCAACCGGAGGTTGACAAGTCTATGCTGCATGGTAGCTTTAAAGTGCATGAGCCTGGCAACTCCGATGAGGTCAATGAGATAGCTTGAAATGATGCTCAGAAAACTTTATATATATATATAGTAAAAAAATGGGACGACACCGTTTCACCGTACACTTTTTGAAATTTTTTTTGTATAGAAAACTTAAAAAGATACTGACAACTGGGAATGATAACCAAACAACTTGACATGATCCCCGGACATCTTGAAACGATAATCAGGTAACTTGAATTGCAAAAGGTATAGTCACTACCAAGTTACCTTACACAGGCACACACGCACATTCAATATATCAGTGAGACAGCACTTGACCCATCGGAGTATATTTTTGTGAGAAATCACAAATGCGCTAGAAGCATTCTTTGAACTTTTATAATCATCAAGAACAGAAAAATTAAACGAAAGATATGAAATAGGTAAAATCTCAAGTTTGCCTAGTGTTTATTGAAAAAAGTTAACGTTGACGAACTTCAGGTATCAATTAACCATTATTAATTGTTGCTTTTTAATTCTGTTTTTTTTATTTTATCGTTTTGCATGTGCTACAATAATCGATTGGAGGAAAAGTCTACAACATTGAAACGGAACCTGTGCATCTGTTATGAGCGGTCGATAATTGAATAATCACTTGCCTGTTTCACTGCTTGTTCGGTTTCCTCAATGAGTGCAGTTTGTTCGTCAACATCTAACTCGAATTCTTGTCTCCCGATGCGCTGTATGGGCGGCAATTGTTCATTTTCAGCTGCCATTGCGTTGATCTAAAAGTGAAAGTTATCACGATATAATTCATCACATTTTTAGTTAGTCTGTTAAGGTGGCTCAGTTACATAGTTGTATCATAAAAATAATGATTACATGCAGTCTCCGTCACTACTTCTATTGGAATCATAGGTAAGCAACTGACTAAGGCGAAACCAAGCATTCATGAAGTTGCATCCACATAATCTAGTCAAACCATTATTTTATTTATTGAAGAGGGAACCTATTGATTCAAACTTTTTAAATCCGTCTTGAGTGAATATGGGATTATCCGTATCTCCATGATCCCAGGAGTTAGTGCAAAACCTTGTTGTATTAATCTCACTTATAAAACTGAAGTAATAAACAGTATTTCAAAATTACAGATTATCACCATAGATGATTGTGTAGCATAAACTCAGTAATGGTGGAACGAGGATTTCAAATTAGGCCTTTTAGATTATGATTGTTGAGGAGTCCCGGAGATATTCATATACATATACGTAAACAGCAAATCATCGTGGTTATTAAAAGAACGTGTTATGTCCAAGTAGCGTATACGGACCGAGGATGATGCGCCTTTTTCCTTTTACTGCACACGATGATCAGATTTTAACGAACGTTAACCTCTTGTCTCTCTTTCCTCGAAACACTAAAGGGATTAACTTTTTATGGCAAATCTAGAAAATTATTTGTCTCAAAGAGACAATCACCAATACAAGCTACTTTTGCGAGCCACTTGGTTTCCGCTAAAGATTGGCTGGTCGTTTGGAATCAGTTTCAGTCCACAGAACAATTAACCTTGCACTTCAATGATTCCGCTTCTGTTGCTGTTTTCATTTGACCATTTAGTTGAGCAATTACGAGAAAACGAGTGCGTGCGAAAAGTTGAGAGTATTACCAGCAGAACAGAAAGTGCAGGTGAAATAAATGCGCATAAACTGGGCAATTGCACGAGTCACTTTCTACGAAATTCAAAAAATTATTACGATCACCCGTCGATCAGGTAGATTTTGGCATTTGGAGTCTGTTTTCATGCTGTTAACCAAAACACTTACTTGTTCATTTCCTAAAGAACTGACTTCTGATGCAAACGTCGTGACATGTTTAGCTGGCCAGGGTTTTATTACTGTTCGGATCAGACGAACAAACTCTAACTCATCTAGACTATTTGTTACTTCAAAAGAAACCAAAACTTTTGAAAAACGTGGCTAACTTGCTTGTGTCGAAACTAAAGCGAAATTTAGGTCATCATTATCAAACTCACGAGAGTGCTTATTTCAACCAAATCATTGCGTAGCTTCTCCTGAGCATCCAAGTAGACCTTATTCTCCAGTTCCTGTGCTTCCAATTCACATTCCTGCGTCCACGTCAGTCTGTGCGGTTCCGACAAAATCGGACCGACTTCAAGCACCTCATTGCTTAACTCGTTACTTTCGCTTACGTCAATTGAATGGTCAGCCAGCGCCATAACTGTGCTTGATCGGAAAAATAGTGGTCGAAAGCTATTATGGTTCATTTGACCTGGGCGTGTGGGGGACTTCTGCAAATCTGATGTTGTTTCCTTGGGTTTATAGGTGGGAAGTCTCTTCAAAGCCTCCACTTGTTCGCTGATTATTTTGTTTAACTCATGATTTGGCTGTTTCAAGTTGATTTCTGCTATGTTGTCAAATCTGAGTGAGAAGGAATAAAATTCCCGATTGTGAGACAAAAGAAGAGAACAATTAAAAATAAAAATTTCGTTCATTCCACTCATGCATCAAGTGGAAAACTGCAAAAGACCACATAGAATCATTTTGAAGTTCAAAGTGTTTCCTGGCTCTCGGGTGGTGAAAAGTAGGCAAATGATGCTTCTGAGTCCATTAAATTTCTGTCTCATAGAACAACAGATATTCGATTTGGCTTTTAAGATGATATTTCAAATCGATTTTGAAACTAACACCGAAGAATAATATTTGCAGCTAGTTAGTGATTTACTGCACGACATTGTCGAAAAAATTGGTAAACAGTTGACATCTCTAATGACGTGAGTAACCTTTTAGAAGAAGCATTTACTGAAAATCAGACGATTCTGAAATGTTTCAAATTGTTGTTTGTCAGATTAAAATGTTAAAATGTTGAAATTGCGAAACGTTCAACAGCCCTGGGGGCATTAGAACTCACGCATGGACGCCGCCTACGAGGCCACGTAGCTCAGCTGGTAGATAGTACGCTGAATAAAAGATTATAAAACAATATTTCAGCTCTTCAGTGTAAAGTAGTTTTTCTGTAAATGCACATGTTCATTTGATGGTGTGAGTTGCAATGGCCGATGACAAGCTAGCGTTTATCCGATTCTTTACAGTGGTGGCCTCTTACTTGATGATGATGGAGCTAATTTGACGACATTAATTGAGTCATCCATAGTTTTGGTTGAGGCACACAGAGTGGGTGCTAAGTGCCAACCTCTTGGCATGGAAGCTCTCTGAGTTAGTTTGAGTATGGTAATTGCAGACTGATTCAGCAATCGCCAAGGATTTGTCCGAATAGAGGTTCATGATTTTACTGTATTTCGTATTTGTAAGATATAATTCAATCGAAGATTTACTCATTCGTCTAACTCTAGCATATTGCTCAGACCAAAGGAAGCTAAGATTATTATGAGATTCACAACCGGAAACTTAAGTTAACCAATGACTAATTCGAAAGATAACGGGGAGGCGTAACAATCGTAGTCCATTGCGGGCGGACCTCAGTTATTCGAATCATGAGCTGTTTGGATGGGGTGATAGAGGCTGCGAGGAAAACAGGAGGCAGATCTCAAATAAGTTTTATCTGTTACTTTGAATTTATAATTAAATAAATCCAATTTTAAGAATCAACTTTAGGTAATAACAATGGATTATTTTTCCCAAAAGTTTTAATTTGTGCATACTATGACGAAAATGGCATTTATCTACCACTCGTCCACTTGTAGTATTGGCTTTATTAGTCACACCTCGACCTCCACCGCGTTTAGTTAAAGGTAGATACAACGATATGCTACGAGTTTGTAGACGATTGGTGTTTTCATGCAAACAGCTTGATACAGCTTTCTTTGATGCTATGCTCAGTTGATTTCATAAAGAGTGTGTTGGTATATTACTATTTTGAGGGGAATAGAAGGAATACAAAATGAAAGATAATAGTACTTTAACCAGGGCATGGAACAACATTCAGAAGGGACGTATTAAGGGTTATAAAATCCATCCTTTAGGTTAATGAAATGTTTAATGACTTGGCTTGACTGGAATGTATATCATTTGTTTGAATTAAAGACACCCGAAAGAGAACACTTGGAAACAAAAATCCCATTTCATAGAGAGCTAGCCGGATTACAACTAGAATTACAAATGAATATCGAATGTTCTCTATTCTCTATGAAATAAAAAAACAATGTAGTGTCAACAAAGATTTTTTGTGAAATAGTTAAAAAAATGGTTAGCTGAATCAAAGTGGACCTGCGTTGAGAAACCATCACCGCAGGTGAAACAGCGACTGAGAATATGTCCCCAACAAATTTAAAGGGATTACTAAGCTAGAGTTTATGCACCGGCTACAAATGATATCTTTGAAGGAGTTAATTTGGCTATACAGAAACTTAACTATATACAGCTCTTATAAAAATGTTTTTCACTTCGCTAATTGTTAACCTCCACTAGGGGTTTTTGGAACACAATCCTTGTTGGCAAACAGGGACAATTGTGTTCATCTTGGAAAACTGTAGATAATGTCTAGATAAAACCAATTTTATAATAAATTGAACTTCCAGTGATCAGAGGCATATAAAGCCTAAAAGATTCCAAAGTTTCGTTATATTTTTGAAGTGCTTAGTTTTCTTCATTGAAGTCCTCATCACGCAAATAAGACAATTTAAATTTTGATCGCCTCATCAGAATCCCCATCACAAAAGGATGTGCGCTTCCCTTGTGTGCCAGGTTTACAGTGTCCCGATAAATATGAGTGTGCGCGATGATAAGGGACTGGATTTACTTGACAGATTGGAGAGGAAATTGGATTAACATGATGACCATAGAGAGAGAATGGTATAGGGGTGCATTAGTATCTCGTCACGTAATCTGACCCCAACGGTAGTGAAACAAGAAACTGTCGTCAAACCACTTTGCTCCTCATTGCTCCCAGCCAACGGGATACATGGTGATTTGGACATCGGCTCAGGTGAGAGACATACCTCACTGGATATTTTCGTGAAGCTTATCATTCATCGTTTCCCAGTTGTTCATTGACCACTACATGGGTTTATCCACACTAACAAGACAACTGAATGTAGGACACCGGGAGGTAGGCCAATTTTTGACGTCTGCAGTACGTTTCCTCGCCCATGAAGCCGACCCACGCGCTTCCTGTGTGATGACCACGTTCGCGCCGAAGCATTCCCAAGCACACAGTGATCCATCTTAGCGCTGCTAACAGGTTCATTGATTACTAAACACATTGGAATATTAATATATACACCACATAAAAAACAATTACGAGAATGGAACCAATAATGAGTGTACTAGCGGTGGATTGAAGAGAAGACAAGAACTGGGAACGGTACATAACGTGAACCGATCGTTTCTGTGCTTTAGCTCATGCATCTGGATCGGAATTGCACAAAATG